CCTTGGCCGCTTACCGTTTATTTGGATTCATTAAAAAAATCAGCCAGTTAAAAGTGATATACGATCCTGTCTCAAAGTTGTAAGCGTCGGGTTGCATGGGAGGGGGGGGGGCTCGGACCCCCCGGACCCTCCCCCTGGATCCGCCACTGCAGTTAGTGTTATGATAGAGAGATTTAGACTCTAATTTGTGTTTAAAAGCTCCCATGGGTTTTTCGTATTTCATATTGATGGATGGAGGGATGGATGAATGAGTTAAGTTTAATGTCGTTTAATTATATCTTGGTTTAGTTTGCCTAGCATCAATTTCCTTTGTGAACTTACCCCAATTGCTAGGCACGACAATTTAAGGTCGTTGGCGTCTGAATCCAGATTGAGGCGTGCTGCCATTGCCTTCTCGCCGGCAAATTCAGGGGCGGTTCCCTCATAACACTTTAAAATTGGTTCAAGCACCCGTAACTTGGAATTAATGAATCCGTTCGCAGCAGAGATAACGTTAACAGCAAACAAAACGGTGATGATCTTTGAAAACATAGTTGAACTCGTTTCTAAAGAATAAAAACAATAAGGGTTGTTTTTAACGTCTTTAAAAAAAAAACTGAAAGAAGGGAAAGCCCAAAACCTACTAGTTAAGTTTTGGTTAAAATAGGAAATATCCATTTTTAGAGTTAGAACTGAAAATAGAAAATATGCGAAACCAGAAGCTTTTGCGAAATAAACTGACACATTTACGCTCGGTGGCTTGGCGTCTATAATACTTGACCAGCAGAGCGAGACAGCTTATGATTGTGCTCAGACGAATGTGACACTTTAAAAAGTGAGAACTCAACAAAAAAAGATGCTTAGCCGTGGCCAACAGCTTTTACGAAAAGAATCAACGTATGCCACTTAAACTGTATTAAACTGTACTATCAAACTTAAACTGCACACTTACCAACAGAAGTTTCCCGAGCAGTTTTACTCTGGAGCGAGGGAGAGTAGTTTGTTTGGGAGGGTAAAATCGTTAATAAAAACGATTATATATATATGGCTCTGTTTAATCAATTTGAAAGCTTTAGGGCTTGTTTTTTTAATTTCTGAAAGCAATGTTAACTTCCAAGTGAGTGTATTTTTTCTCTCCCGAAAACATCACAAACAAAAAAAGACACGTAAACGTAAGCTACATGTACTGTAACTTCGCATTAGACTGTTGCACAAGCTCTAGGGAGGCGACTTCCTCTATTATATGAGGTCTGTCTTTTATCTGGCACATGTACGACTTCCGAATTCAGCTTTGAGTTTCAAACTAAGCCATAACTGTATTGTCGCACCGCAGCACAGCGCCGATTACATACCTGGATCGTTAGCCTTATAAATTTCTGTTTTGCATCCAAAACATGCAGCAAAACTCGCCGGTTAGCGTTGCTGACTCTTTGTCCTAGAGCTGTCCTTCGAAGCTGAAGTCGTAAGATCAACTAAAACAAAAACATTGCCGTAGAATATCTTATAAGTAGGACGCCACGATTTTTATTCGGTCGAGCGAAACGGCTTGGACGCCGTCCCTTTTCTTCCGTTGATTTGCATTTTAATTTGCCACACTAAATTTTATTCATGGTTTAGCATGCCAAGGGCTCGCAAATTTTGCCAAGGAATAAAAATTGAATAAAAGTACCACTACAACTGGTGAGGATAAGAGACGAAATGAGTTTGTGAAATGGGATTTGGCTTGACTTGCGGCCGGAGTGGCATTATTATGTGGAATGTGATATATGTAAAATACTTGAGAAATTGATTCAACTGAAACGCGCGCCCTTTCCACAGTTCTAATTAGCTTGGATCATTAATTGCCTCTGACATCCTAGAGCGTGAATAATCGCACGCTAGTTATCGTTCTTGTTATGTCTGATTATGAGAACAAGTTCTTTATAGTCTGGTGGTTGGCTTCTCTTTCATGTTTACGAATATATTCAGGGTAGCAACAATTCAGGCTAACACTACATCAGGGTTAAATATCTTTACTTGCAACATTTGTGGTATCAGTGGTGCCAATGAAACTCCTTCTAATCTTAAATTCCTCAACTGTTAGCTTAATGCAATATTATCTCTAGTTCTGCAATTACCTAAAACTTGTCGAGCGAAACGGCTAGGTCGCGGTCCTTTTTTTGGCGTTAATTTCCACGCTTCGCTACATTACAATTTAACCTGTCAATTTGAGGCCAATTTTGATGAAGCGGGGTCTCTTAAGCGTATTTTCATTACGTCTGATTATAATAACAAGTTCTGGTGGTCGGCGTCTTCTTCATCTTCACGAATAATTGATATCAACAGTTTAGGCTAACACTGCATTAGGGTCTAAATCTCTTTACTTGCGACATTTGTGGTATCAAAAAAGCCACGAAACTTCTTCTAAATGTTATTCCTTTGTCCGTATCCTTTCTTACTTTTCTTTCTTTTTTTCTCATTGAGCAAAAGGGTATGGAGCTTGAAATAATCTTTCAATAATTATTTTGTTGAAACAACATTTTTGTAAAATCGTCTATTCAGAACATACTTGACTTGCTAAAAATTACTTGCACTAAAAATTGAAGCCGCTTAAACTATATAATATATAAAAGTCTTTATTACATCATAAGATAAAACTACATATCTTATGCTACAATGAATTTGGAAAAACTACAACAGAAATCTACATACATATTATGAATTATTTAGTATGTCATTACAATTAATGGAGCTTAAATATCAACCTATTTACGACGGTGTTCATAAAGCGCTGTGTATTAATTTTCGGGCGTGTGCAGCCTTTTTTCCTAAGATTGTGAACATATGTCTTTCTTCAAAATGTTTCGGTCTTGTTTGTTTAAAAGGTTCTTGATAAAAAACTGGAAATGAGATAAAACCGCGTTTATGACATCGGTCTAAAAAAATTTGTACAACCGTACGATCGGACTCAGATGCCCCATGGACTGAAAGTGCATAGCTAAAATTAGCCAAAACAATGGATATAAAAAGATGATCAATCTCTGCCTGAGAGTAATGTTCCTTTCTCAATGTTCGTAGGACGTGTAAACACTTGTTTGCTTTGACAAGCTTAGTTCTTACATGCTCATCAAATTTTCCGTCACTCTGTAAAGTTACTCCTAGTAAAACGAAGCTATTACATTGGGGAATATTATTAATTGGAGAGTAGAGTACATTATGATTTTTCTTTCTAACAACCAGCTCTTTACATTTGCAAGGGTTGCAGACCATTCTATTGTCTTTACACCATGTTAAGAACTGTCCTACTAAGTCGGCAGACGGGTCACTATTCCTAGTGATAGGCGAAAGAATAGTGGAATCATCGGCATATTTAAAAAGCACAGGGCAACCATTAAAAAAAATCTCCAAATCGTTCAAAAATATATTAAAAAGATACGGTCCGCTTACACTACCTTGTGTGGTTCCTCTATTGACAGATTTCCACTGTCCTAAAAAATTATAACTAACAACACGTTGTTGTCTTGCATAGAGGAAACTATGATACCAATTGATAATGTACGGATTTAGAGGTAGCTGTTTCAGTTTGGCAGACAAAATAGCATGGTTCACAAAATCGAAAGCCTTACTGAAGTCCATGGTAAAAATTCGCACTGCGCTACAGTCACTACTATCTAAATACTTGTATGTCTGGTGCTGGATAGCGAGCAAGGCATTTGTGCAACTACCCGCCTGTCTATATGCAAATTGGGTGTGGCTCAGGTTGTTCTCAATGACTGACTGTGCTTGTGTACGATACACGACCTTCTCGAACAACCGGGCAATAACGGGAGTAACATTAATACCACGGTAGTCTGAGTCCTCTATAGGCATGTTCACTTTGGGGAGAGGATTAACATTTGCCCT